AGTGCGTACGACCGCATGAAATATTTCAGACCAAAACTGGTATAAGCTTTCCTCGTTAGCCAAGATATTGAGAAAAGTGCAAGCCAAAAAAATGAGGTAGCAATAGCAAAATTCAAATACAAATACCACAATTGGCTATGGCACAAAAAAATCTCACAAAATCTCTTCACAAGATATCTTCGAAAAGCAATCTGAATACCCGAATTTCTCTGAGTTATAATATAAAGATCACCAATTTTGTGATGTACGAAATAGCTGCAGCAAAGGGTCATTTTGTTTAAGAATGAATGTTAGCGTGGCACGCTGATAATAATCGGGTACCAGTTTAATGTTATTGATTACATCTTCCAGAAGATAAGCCTGAAAATACAGGAGAACGGTTTGGCCAGGAAATTATGCTCTTTGTAATACATCTGCACCATCCTTTCCTTTTTTTACATTTTCTTATACTTTTCCTTTTCCCCATATATTTCCTATTTTTCCTTTTTCCTTCTACCATTTCTTCTGATTTACATCTTTTTATTTTAATTTATATACCATAGTAAATTATTTTGTTACCACAATCATCGTACTGAAGAGGTCCAATTGTGGTAACGGTAAGAAATATATACAACTTAATGGACCGAAACATTTCTTACCTATAACAAATATTTTCTTATGCCCCTTACCCATTTTAATATCCTTTTCCTCCTTTTCATTTTCCTTCTTCTCCTGATATTTTATTATTAACCTTTAATACAAGCACCTTTGTCGCCCATTTTAAAACGTAATTTTTCTAAAAAAAAGTCTTGTGATAAGGGGAATTTAATGCTAATTATGCAAAATGCTGATAAAATTTGAGTGTTATTCACTAACGTAAACGTTCGCTGGGGATGTATCACTAATCGAAACAAGTGAAAAAGTTACTAGACGTAACAAAGATGGAGAAATCAGACTGCAAATTAAAACCGATCCAAGCACCAAGGTAAATTTTTATGCGTTTTTTGCAGCTATGCAATGCAAAAACGCATATTGATGAGAGGCTGTTTGTGTGTCCGTGTGTGTGTCTGTCATGCACTTTCATCTCAAGATCTATAAAAGCTGCAGGGCTGAAATTTCGGGAACTTAATCTACATGCACGTACCAGCCCCAATCACCAAAATGAGCGTCATCACCCGCGTGGTACCCACGTACAGGCCCGCCAAAACGTTTTTCGGTTAAGTTCAT